CACCAGAAGTAACATAGTGACTGCTGCTCCTTCCCCGAATACTTTGGTAACTTCAGAATGACTGGTCTTTCTTAAAATTTTGCACCTGTGGGGCTGGCATTGTGGCATGGCACACAAAGCTGCTGTCTGCAGCACCAACACCCAATCCAGGCATTGTCCCTCTCTGAGTTGCTCCACCTCCACTCCAGTTCCCCACTGATGGCCTGGAAGAAGCAGAAGAGAAAGGCCCATGTGCTTGGACTCTTGCTAGCCATGAAGGAAACCTGGAAGAGGCTCCTGGCTCTTGGCTCTAGTCCATCCAGGGAGTGAACCAGCAGATGAAAGACCTCTGTCTCTCCCTTGTTCTCTGTAACTCTGCCTTTCAGATACATGCCTTTAAAATGAAAAAGAATGAAAAAAGAGATATTTAAGTGTATGTCACAAGCAGACATGCTCTCATTTAGTGGGGCACACCCACTTTGCATTGTCATCTGTAAATCTTTTCATTTCCTCCTCCCCAGTTACCGTTTGGGGCATTTGCACATTTGCACCCAGCTGGCATGTCTCCGTGAGGGAGAAGGCACCAAGGTTGGGGGGGGGGTTGGCTCCCTGCAGTCTCTTCCGAAGCACTGCCAGCCCCTTGCCGACCAAGTGTTCCTCACACTCCGGGTCCTCAAGCTGTCTGCCTTTACACCTTGGCTTGCCTATGGGTATCATTATCTAACTGGAAATGGCGAAGAATTCTCCAGTCCATCTCCTTGGCTAAAACAGTTACAGAGGAATGGGCATTGTGGCATCTAGGATTAAACTGCTGTGTGTGTTCCAAGGGGTGTCTGGACTGCTGTGCCAAACACCTGTCTCACAGTTGTATTTAAGAGATTCATTCCAGAAAAGGCAGAGTAATGATTCTGTCTGAGTATCTTAAGGGTTTTATTTGCCTGAAGATTTCAAAATGTAAATCTTGCCTACCTGCAAATGAAAGAAACACAGCAAAGCAGAGGACTAAAATGAAGCAGAAGGCAATTGAAATACCGAGGGCTCTGAACATTGTCAGAAAGACCCAAATGCCAGCCTGAAGAACAGGTTGCATTCCGTGACAATAAATGATAGGACCTCCCTTCTGTGAGGACTCCCTTTCCCTGTCATAGTCACCAAACTGCAGGAGGCAGCAACTGCTCACCCCACCCCCTCTGCCATCCCCAGCCAGCCTCCAAAATTCCCGTAGCTTCCAGAAGGTAGTGGAACAGTGTTGTCTGAAACGTTAAACTCAACTTTATTGCAAGGCAAACTTTTATTTTTTTTCTTCACAGATTTACTAATGTGTTTATTTGAAAGACAGCCTGATGAAGACAAGAACACACACACACACACACACACACACTCAAACACACACACACACACACACAATCTCTTATCTGCTGATTCTTTCTCCAAATGGCCACCAAGAGCTAGGGTTTGGCTCAGGCTGAAGCCAGGAGCCTAGTGTTCCACCCATATCTCCCAGTTGGGTGGCAGAGACGCAAGTGCTTAAGCTATCTCCCACAACCTTCCAGGCACATTAGCAAGAAACTGGACTGAAATAAGAGCGTCTTGGACTTGAACCGGCACTCATTTGGCCTTTGGACTTTGCAGGGAGATGTGTAACGCACTGCGCCACAACGCTGCCCTCAAAGCTGCCTTTTATCGACAGTGCTTTCTTCCAGTAAAGCCTGAAATCCTGTGGCAAAGCTGTACAACACTTGACAAAATCTGCTTTTTGAAGCAACATCTGATGAAGGAATGAAAACATGGAGTTGTTTAGGGATTTGGTGTCAGTTCTTTGTCTCATTGCAATAAAGGGGGGTTGGGGAGGGTGATGAGTAAAGCAAATGAAGGCAGATTTCATTGACAAACAGAGACTCCTGCTTACCGGGAGGGATCCCCAAAGGAAGGGTCCAAGCAGGTCTAGGAAGTGGGAGCTCACTTTGGATGTCAATTGACCAATTCTTCTATAGTTTCTATACATTGAGTGTCTACTTTGATGGTTCTTCACCAGCACATGTGAGATCCCTTTGTGTGTGTGAGGGGGTATGAGTCCGGCAGGTGAGTAGTGGGAACCCACTGCTGCTGAGCCACTGTTCCTGCTGATGAGTGTGAGAGCTTGGACTGGGGTCAGACCATGCTGGGCAGGGCTACACCTATTGGCCCGCATGTGAGCTGTGTTAGAGGAAGAGCCAGGCTGGGCTAACTGATTGTATCCACAGATACAAGAATGAAGCAGAGTAAGGGCAGTGGGTTGAACTTAGCCACAGCATCAGGTGGCAGGTGCTGGGACTTGGAGGGCAAGTCCTGTTGCGCTAAACTGCAGAACTATCTGTGCAAGACCCAGGGCATGGAGTGGATCCATTGGGGAAGACTGATGGGCAGCAGCTCCCACTAGTGAGCATGAAAACCAGGACTGGGGGCAGGTCTGGCTGGACAGGCAGTGGTACCCACTGGCATGAGTGCAGGCTGGAGGGTGGAGGCAGTTCGGTTGAGCTAGACTTCAATGCCCAATGAGGTATACGAGATCTCAGCGGGATGTGAGGCAGACCAGATCAGTCCACTGTACATGTTAGCAAGCATAGGAATCAGAGCTGGGGGCCAGTTCAGTGGGGGTTATTAGGGGTCACTGACTGTGCTTCAACTTCCCCTGGTGTACAGTGAAGGCCAAGTATGTGGTGAGCAGGGCTGTGCTGGGCTGCAGCACCCATTGGTTTTAAGAGAAAGGAGGGTAAAACAAATTGGTCAACTACCCCAGTGAAACTTGACAACAAACTTCTGGGCAAATGGAGTCTCTAAGGTAGACCATGTCAGCCTATTGACCTTGGAAGGAATTTTTCATCCTTGGAGTGGTGATTTCAGCAGCACCTCAGAACTATCAAAACCACTTAAGCAAAACCCTCAGAAAGTACTCTACCCTGGGAACCATGGGGTAGAATCAGCCCTGGGTGTAGGGGGCTGGGAGGCAGGCTGTGCTTTCTCCCCTTGTATCCACCCTCCCCCAGATTTAGGAAGAATAAAATGTGGAAACAATGGTTCTGCCCACTTTCCCCTGACCCTCCCCACTCTGACCAACTATATAAACACCATCAAAAATGAAATAAAATAAAAAGAAGGGATAGAATAACAAGGATGCCAGCTCACCTGAATTCTGCAGCTTACACTTTCAGATTCCCCATTCCATTGCTGAGATTGCCAAAGCCGTTTAAACGGGTATCATCAAAAACTTGCACTTGCCACTCAGGATCTCTTGGCATGGGAACAGGTGTTAGGTTTTCCTGGATGGGGTGAATGGCTTCGAAGTGTGGGTACCAGCTCTTCTCTTCATTCTGGAAGAGGGGGAGTTTCACAGGTCTGCCAGGAGGAAGAAGTGGCCATGAGCTGTTGCAAAGCCTCTGCATCTCATGCACAGACAGTGCTTGCCCTCCCCTCTGCTCACCCTTCCGCTCCTCTCTTCTCCCCTCCTGTCCTTCCCTTCCTCACTCTTCTTCTCTCCTCTTCCTTCTTTCTTTCCTTTCTGCCTCACTTCCTTCCTTTTAGACTTATTTGAAAAACACAGAGAGATCTTGCATCTGCTAGCTCACTCCCCATGGTTACAAAACCCAGGTCTGGGTGAGGCTCAAGCCAGGAGCTGGGAATGGACACCTTGGGTTGCAGAGGCCCAGGGCCTGCTCACATTAGCAGGAAGCATAGTAGCTAGGACTTGAACCAGTTCTGATATAGGACACTGGCACTGCAACCTCCTCCTTAATCCACTGTGCCACACATCCTTCCTGGCCCGCATCACCCTCACACAACTTCCTGGCCCGCATCACCCTCACACAACTTCCTGGCCCGCATCACCCTCACACAACTTCCTGGCCCCCCAGACCCTCCTGGCTAGACCTCATGTCCTTCAAAGGCTACAGAAGACATCCTGCTTTACCTTTTCCCACTCAAAAAATTAACTTGGTACAAGGCTCTTATTTGTAAATTAAAATGTAAATATATAAAATGGGTAAAACCACTCCATTCTCAACAACCTGTTATACTGCACTTTTTTTCTGTGTCATTGGTGGGGGGGAGGGTAAATCCCTTAGGACCCCTTTTCCCTCAGGAAGAGTCGGTAAGAAGATTTCCGGGCCAGTGTTGTGCTGCCCAGTACAAGATCTTCACAGAGAATTCGCTCCATCGCACCTGATAGTTCAGCATCTTACAGGTACAGAAAGAGCCACTTGGACCCAGTCCGGGAGCCTAGTGGCTAAAGTCCTTGCCTTGCAAGCCCAGGATCCCATATGGGCACCGGTCCATGTCCCAGCAGCCTAATTCTTATCCAGCTCCCTGCCTGTGGCCTGGGAATGCAGTCAAGGATGGCCCAAAGCCTTGGGACCCTGCACCCTTGTGGGAGACCTGGAAGAAGCTCCTGGCTCCTGGCTTCAAATCGACTCAGTTCTGGGTGTTGTGGCCACTTGGGGAGTGAATCATCAGATGGAAGATCTTTCTCTTTGTCTCTCCTCCTCTCTGTATATCTGACTTTCCAATTAAAAAAAAATTTAAAAAGCAAAAAAGAATGAGCCACTTAGGGGACTTTTCAAAACCCCTACAGATGGAGGAGATGCTGTGACAGCGACATGGGGTGCAATGCTCCCCACGCTTGCTCCATCTGGGCAGACGCACAAAGACAGTCACACAGCCATTTAATTAAAGGTTTATTCAATGAAAGGATGTATAAAAACTTACAAATCTGAGAACTCAACTATACATATGACAGGATGGCGGGATCTTCCACTTTTAACATAGCGTACAGTATAGTTATTAACTAGCCCCTCCCCCTGGTGTACCCCTTCGGTCCGTATTTCTGGGTCTTACTTGTCTCGAGACTCACTGGCCTAAGGGAAAGGCAATGGAATAATCTTACTGCTTTCAAGCCAATAGAGAAAACTTTAGGCATTAAAAAAACAAGAATAAACTTCAAAATCCAAGTTTTTTGTTTTCCCTAAATAGCAAATCGATTTTGGAGGGGGGGGTCCTGATTTCTCCATGCCAATTCGGTGCTTCACGGATGCTGCAGGGAACTATCAGTGCTGACTGGGAAAAGTGACCGAAGTGACCTCTGCTGGCCATTTGCCCTTTGACACTCCCACATTCCTACATCTTCTCCCTGTAGCGCACACACAGGTTTTCCCTGCAGTACACGCAGCTGCTTGGTACTAAAATGAATTTACCGCTGGCGACTGCTAGCAAATGGCACAGCCATTTCTATTCAGAAACACAATCGATAGAATGGTACTTTGAAATCTGATTTTGAAAACAACAGATTGGTCAGAAATGGGAAGTACAGCATTCTGTTGTTCCAGTTGGAAGGAAGCCAGTGCTTAGATAAGGCGTGTGCATTAAGTCACCTGTTGTCAGCCAACACCCACACGTCTCCTCTTGCAAACACACAAACTCACAGCTTGTCATGTTTTCCCCACAAATTAAGATTGCCATCACATTATTACTTCTTTTTTCTTTTGTTAAGGTAGATTTCTTAATGAGTGATTTTTTTTTTTTTTCTGAACTGGACATAATCTCACAGGAAGCACTCCGCAGTGACACACCTGGAGGGCGTTGGAGCGTGGAGAGCGCTGTCTCGGGCGGAAAGCGTCCCCGCCCCTTCTAGATTTTTGCATAGTTACAGGGCCCGGCCTCACTTCCAGAAGAATACTGTGTTTTTTTGGACACTGGTTTTCTCAGAAGGAAGACTTACTACCCAAGGAAAAGCCATGAGTTTTCCTTTACCAAATTGCATTCCGGTTGTTTTGGTTCGTTATGTACCCTTCATTAGTTCCAAGGATGCTTTCAAACAACCGGATGCCTCTCCACATCTCCCGGAGTTGGTGAGTACTATGGACCGTTATCTTTCCAATTTCCCCTGAATTAAAGTCAATATATTCCAGGTTTATAATGCACAAAGCCTTTTACAGAGGTGGGGCTGGGGGCAAGCAGAAGGGGGAAGAGAGGACGGGGAAGGGGAGAAGGGAGCAGGGACCTGTGAGTATCATGCCATGGAGAACTTCAGTTCTGATTTGGGGACTAAGGGGAGGGAGGGAAGGTGGTCTTTGTAAAAACAAGTTTTTCGTTTGTTTTAAAAAGGTAAGTAACATTCAGTCCAATAATACAGTCTCCTGTTCCTTTTTGATGGAAGCTAAGCCCGGGTGTTCAGCTTCCGTGACCTCGGAGTCCCCGCTGCCCAGCAGAATGGAGCGTCCCTCCCCCAGGGCAAAAACATCCGAGTTCTGGTTTTGGCATGGATGCTTCACCACCTCGCTGGGGGTCGAGAATGTTCTGTCACACAGGTTGCACTTGTAGGGCTTGTTGGTCTGTACCAGCATGTTGTCCATCTGGCTGCTTTCCTCGAACGTGCACAGCTCCAGGGTCTGTTTGTCCACCATGGTGTAGGTGTCGATGCTCTGGTTGAGGCACACGTGGCGGGCAGCCTGGTTGGCCCTGCAGAAACTCTTGTCACAAGTGCTACATTTGAAAGGCTTCCCGGTGTGTATGTACATGTGCTCCCGCCAGTGGCTCTTCTGGATAAATTTGCGTCCGCAGATGGTGCACTCGTACTTCCGCCTCTTCACCTCCCGCTCCTGGTCGGCCTGCTCCAGGTTGTCAATGTCAGCGATGTCGGAGGGCGGTGGAGTCTCCGACTGCTGCTGTCCGTCTATGACTGGGGAGTCGGACACGTGCTGCAGTTCACTGTCACTGATCATGCCCGCCTCAGGCACTTCCAAGGGGTCCTTGCCGAGGTCCGCTGCATTGCTGCAGAGGGCCAGGGGCACGCGGCTCTCGCCCTGCTGGCTGGACGGGAAAGGCACCCCGGTGTGAATCTGCAGGTGCTCTCGCAGGCTGCTCCGCAGGGTGAAGCGTCGGCCGCACAGGTGGCAGGCGTAGTACTTGGGGAAGCTTCCGTTCCTCTTCATGATGCTTGGCTTCACGTGGGCGATCGTGAGGGATGCAGGCTGCTCGTCAGACGATGAGGCTTCCATATTGGTCTCCTCTCCAGGAGGAGGGGGAGGGACGGGAGTGGAAACCAGTTCCGGGGACAGTGAGGTCTGCAGTGGGTCTGAGGGAGTCATGTTTGTCCGATTCAGTTGGGCCAGGTTGGGAGGCAGCTGGGAGAGCTGGGAGGCCTCGGGCACTGGCTCCTGGCTCATCCTGGCAGCCTGAGGCCTTGGGTCTCGCCCAAGCTTCTCAGGGACAGCAGGGATCTTGGTGGCTTGTCTCAGCTGGTGATCGGCAATCTGGATGCCATACAAGGAAGAAGCCAGCGGGAAAACCTGATCAGGGTGCGAGAAGGTTCCTTGGCTGGCCAGGCTCGCCTCCTGGATCAGCGGGTAGGCGTGCAGGAACTTGATCCCCTGCTCCAGACGGACAGGGTCGATGAGCTGGGGCGCCATCTTCCCAGTGTACATCAAGTGCAGGAGATAGCTGAAAATATCGGGCTGAATGTCAGTGGGCTTCAAACGGACACACTCACTGAAAGAAACCGGAAAAAGACCTGCTGAGTAAATGGCAAGAGATGTCTCCAACAGTAACGCCAAACCCGAGGACAAAACCCACAACATGCCCCGTTCCCGACTGTTGGCTCATGACATTCTCTTTGCTGTTTGATCACCAGATCTGTCGGCTACAAATCTGGGGCACAGTAGGGGATCTTGTAAGACGCATCAGCCAAAGAAGCTCGGGGTGAGCATGACCCTCACAGCGACACACCAAACCTTGCTGAGCAATCAGAAGCAACCTTGCCTGCTCGCCGCAGCACCGGCATCTCAAGCGATGGGAAGGCCAGGGAAGCTGGCTCCAGGACAACCCTACAACTATCTAGTGCTGTCACCAGGGACTGGTGGTTAAGCCAGTGTCCGTGCTGCCAGCATCCCATAGGGGCACTGGTTTGAGTCCCCGCTACTCCACCTCTTAGCTATCCCATTCACTGGCTCACTCTCTAAATGGCCGTAAAGTCCCTCCTAATCTCGCAGTGGGTGCAGGGACGCATGCACTTGAGCCATCGCCTGCTGCTTTCCTAGGTCTGAAGCAGGGAGCTGGACTGGATGTGGCGCAGTCGGGACATAAACAGTGCCCATTAGGGATGCTCACGCTGCAGGTGGAGTAGACTGCCACCGCACAGGCTCCTGCTCCAGTCCCAGCCCAGGTCTCTGCTAATGTGCCTGGGAAAGCGGTGGAAAACTGCCCCAGTGCTTGGTCCTCTGCACCCATGTGGGAGACCTGGAAGAAGCTCCACGGATCCTGGCACCGCTGTGGTCATCCAGGGAGTGAAGCAGTGGATGAAGATTTCTGTCTGTTTTCCTCTCTGTGTAAGTCTGCCTTTCAAACAAAGAACTTGTAAATCATAAAAACAAACAAACAAAAGAACAGTGCAGTCATGGGCACCAGCCAGCTCTCCGTGCGCTACCTCCCTCCCTCCACTGCTTCTCCCTTGGCTGGTTAGGATTCCGAGGCCTTCCCGTCATAGAGGTGACGTCAGACGTGTGCCAGGCACGTGTGAATCTGCATCTGACTGCACAGCCACCACACCAAGGTCCTGAGAACACCAAAACTGCCCTGTGTGGCACTTGGGGTGGACTACATCACCTCCAAAGTGGAGAGATTTATCTGCGGCGTCACCACCAGTGGTGGTACTGCTGACTTTCTTAGATTTTTCAGTGTGCACCATTTCAGAAGCACCAGCATTAAGGAAGAATTCCCCCCAAAACTTCCCAGTCATGACAAGTTCTAACGCATCCCCGAGAATCCAATGATGTGGGGCTGGCATTGTGGCTTCACTGGTTAAGCTGTCTCCTGTGATGCCAGCAGCCCACATGGATGTTGGTTCAAGTCCCAGCTGCTCCACTTCTGATCTAGCTCCCTGTTAGTGCGCCTGGGAAGGTAATGGAGGAAAGCCCTTGGGCCCCTGTACTCATGTGAGCAACGAAGCTCCCTGCTCCTGGCTTTGCCTTGGCCCAGTCCTGGCTACTGCCGCCATTTGGGGAGTGAACCAATGGTGGAAGATCTTTGTCACCTCTCTGTAACTCTGTCTTTCAAGTAAATTAAACAAAACAAAAAGTAAAAACACCAGTGATATAAATGTCTGTAGCTCTCGGGCCTCAGTCATCATCCACTGAGCGAGTCTGCCTAGAGCCAAGGCATCTTTCAGCTGTAGAGACAGCCCCCTTGCTTGCCGTCATTTCGGATTCTATGACCTTTGGTTCCTATAACTCTTCTAGGTCCTTTGAGCAACTATGTTCATTAGGTTTCAGTATGCAAAAATACTAACAGTATATCCTTGTTTCTATTTATTCAGTTTTAGAAAGAAAAAAATGATTTAATAGAATTCGGGAATATTTGGAAAGAGACAATACCACTATTGTTGTGTAGATTGGAAAGCCTACGTATAGCTGCATGAAAATTACAAAGTGTAAAAGCCAAAGAAAAAAACCAAGCATAAAAAAAAACTAGCATTCCTTTGGCAATATCATGGGAAGAAAATGAGTATTTGTGACTATTTCTCTCTCTCTCTCTCTTTTTAAAAAAGACACACTAATCCTTTACAACTCTATTTGGAGTTCTTGAGCATCCCTTTAAGTAGGAATATGAATGCGAGTGGTTTTTCTTTAAGCACAAGATGTGTCCCAACAGTAATGCATGCAGGGTGCTCTGAGGAAATGCTCTAGTTCAACTAAGCTTCAGGGACAACATGTGCTAAAGAAGGCTTCAGAGATGCAATCGACGCTAGGACCTGGCAGAGGAACGGGAGAATCCTTCTGCCTTTAGATGACCTCACACTGACGGCTCCTTTCCTGGGTGGGCACTGAAGGGTCTTCCAGGGGAGGGTGGGCCTGCGACGCCCTTCAGTAGACACCCGCACCCCAAAGGAGAAAGGGCCAAAGCCCAAAGGGGACTTGCATGGCAACATCCATGCCAGGCACTCCTGAGCAGCATCCCTTTGCAGACGAGCGCTGGCGCTCTCACTTGCTGCTGCACGGGCTGGTGGGTGCTCAGTGGGCAGCCCAGCACTCCCAGTGTAGTCCCTGCTGCTGGGCAGGGAGGAGCAGGGAGCACACAGCCCGGCCTGCAGAGCTGCTCAGTGCCAGGAGGATGAGCCAGGGACCCTGGGGCTGGTGAGTGTCTCCAGACACCAATTTATTTTGATTTGTTTACTTCAAAAAGTGTTCTTGAAAGCAGAAACACATGTGCACACACGCACACACACACGACAAGAACAAACAGGTGGCACTGTGAGGTTCTGGTGCCTTGTTTCAGTCCTTTCCATCTTGGATGGCTGTTCCTGCCAGGCAGCAGTCTGCCCTCCGCAATGTAATTACAGCTAAGTGCTTCCATTGGCAGGGGTCAGTTTGCCAGGAAACTTTTTTACATAATAGTTTCAGTGTAGCTACAAGTTATCTATATACCTTTTCACAGTGATTTCCATTTTCAAATTCTTCTTCACTAATACTTTCTTTTTTAAAGATTTTATTTATTTTTTTATTGGAAAGTCAGATATACAGAGAGGAAGATCTTCCGCCTGATGATTCGCTCCCCAAGTGACCGCAACGGCTGGAATTGAGCCAATCCGAAGCCAGGAGCCTGGAGCCTCTCCCAGGTCTTCCAAGTGCATGCAGGGTCCCAAGGCTTTGGGATGTCCTTGACTGCCTTCCCAGGCCACAAGCAGGGAGCTGGGTGGGAAGGTCAGCCGGGATTAGAACCAGCACCCATATGGGATCCGGCACATGCAAAGCAAGGACTTTAACCACTATGCTACCACGCTGGGCCCCTTCACTAGTATTTTTTAAATAAGTGTTCAAAAACAATGTGAAACACTGTAGTGAGTGAGCCCAGTGCCTCAGTTCATTTTTGCCAGCTCAGTCTGCAGCCTATGCGATTTCAACACAGAAGACAGAGACCCCCTAGTGGCAAGTACAGGACATACAATGAGCACCAAATTCACCTGAAGACTGAGCAAGCAGCCGGGCCACTGTTCCTGACACAGGAAGTGATGTGTCAAAGCCCAGGTCCCCGTCCTGGGTGTGACTCAGCTTGAATTCTGTGCACAGAGGCGGGCACAGCTGGCCCCAAAGCAGCAGCCCAAAGAGCACATTGTCACATCTGCTGCGGTGACACCCACTACTGCTTAAACCTGGGCTTCAATTACAGCAACATCCCACGCCTCGGCTCCAGGGGCACTGGCATGCCACCTCTACTTGAGGTAAGCCCCTTGCATTTCATTCAAACCCACTACCTTACACTCCTTTCTCCTCAAAACGTTTTTCAAGACAGTTACATTCTAACACAAAGCCCTGGTGAGCCAGGACCTGCCTGACAGGGTGAAGTTCAACGGAACACCCTCGGAGCGCAGGACAAGCCACCGCCCTCTGCCTCGGCTCCTTGACTCTGCCCCAGTCCCTCCTGCAGCTGTTCAGCTGTGCTCTGTGGTGGTCCTGAGATTCCTAAAGCTCAGCCTCTGCCCTCAAGGAACTTGCAAATAAGGAAGGGGGTTAAATACAGAGCGAACAACTCGGACAAGTGCAAGCTCTTGTCCAGTGGCACAGCTGAAGGCTCGGGGTGTCCCAGAGAGGCTCGGCTGATGAAGCTGTCAGCACGCGTGTCCAGCCTGCAGGACCCTGACGTCAGGACAAGGAGCCTGCGTGTTACCTGCTGTGCAGCAGGCGTGTCCGTGGCTGCCGATCAGAGGAAGAGCATCAGGCTACGCGTCCTCAATCAGAGGCACGCAGCACAGGCAGACCAGCGCCAGGAATGTAAATCCCAGAGTGATGTAGAAAATGAAAGCCCAGACAAGAGTGCAAAAGGGAAGAGAAGGACAAATGTGAAAGGAATTTTGAAGAAAATATGATTTGGGCACAGCTTCGATGTGGTTTGAAAGATTTCAGTTTGATTACTTGAGGATAAGAAAACAGGTAAGGCAGGAGCGGTTCTGGGGAGAGACCTGGAGCCCTTTATAAAGGCTAAGTGAGATGAAAGGAGGAGATTCAACTCTAAATGCCAGGAGGCAGCCTGGGGCCCTGGGAACAAAGTACTGAAGACAGACCTCGGTCAGAGCTACAAAGTGCAAGTCAGCGAAAGAGGCAAGCCACAGGAGGAGGCCACGCTCCCTGGGTGAGAGTGGCAGGAGGGGCACGGAGGGCCCAAGACCCTCACCCACGCAGGGCGGGCATGGGAGGGGACGGCTAAGCCCAGGGGCAATGGTTATCAGGATGCAGGCGAGAAGCCCTTCGGGAGGAAGCAGGCAGCGGCAAGGCGGTGGCGGACAGCGGTTTTGAAGAGCGGTGACCTTCTGGGAAATGATTTCAGAGGGAGTGATGGGGTGGAAACCACAGCGCAAATGAACAGGAAGCGTGTGGGATAGGAAAGCACACACAAGGACAGAGAGGAACCTTTCCAGCACTTTCCCGGTAAGACCCGTGAGGTGCTCTGCAGAGATGGCGGTGCTCCGGGAGCCGGGCTCCCTCCCCGCAGACAGCGCCCAACACAGCGCCCAGGGTGAGGGCAGCCATGGGAGCGCAGCCCTGGGAGCATGCGCAGGGAGGAACACGGCGTCCCCACACACCACGAGGCCTTCTTCTCTAAGCAACAGCAAGGAGAACACCAGGCTGAGATACTGGGAGGTTTTAAGGCAGTAAATAGGGACCTGGAAAATGCACACTTTCAAGCCAAGAATAAATAAAGGAAGTTTGGGGGGGGGGATGGGGTGCTACGGTATCAGGACTGGCGGAAAAAAAGGGCCTTCGACATGGAATTCACAAAGCTTCCCAGCGGAGGGGTACCCCGAGGTCTCACATGAGGCGGGTGGGCTCTGTGTCAAATGGGCCCTGCCCAGCCTGGTAGGGGTGGTGGGCAGGGCATCCCCAAGTGCTCTGAAAGCACTTGCAATTAACCACAGGGAACTGGGCACCCAGGAGCCCAGGAGAGGCAGAGCCCACGGTGATGAGGCCGAAGGCCAGGCTCCGCGGGAAGAGGGGCCTGGCGGTGAGGAAGGCTACAGTCATTCCATTATCATCAACCGCTTTAGTTACCTGGTCTGATGGACAAACAACATCTTAAAGTAATTGGAGAATGAAGCAAGAACTGATTTGTGTGCCTTGAAGTACACATCGCCGATTGCAACCGTGCAGTCACACAGGAACCCAAACTCCCGCTGCGCGTTTAACTGCTGCAGTAGAATAAGTCCATGGTTGGCCAAATCCATTTTTTAAAAAATCTGCAAAGCAAACAATTTGATTTTTAAGAAAGGTGATTCACAAATCAGACTGTGTCCTCTAAAGTCACCAATAGTCATTATCTTAGCTGTCAGGCACGGCTAAAGCATTCTATAAATTGACTCATTTAGAATTCACAAGAGCGCCCCGAAGTGGATCTGCCATTCCTCCAGGCTGACTGATTAGGTCACTGAGGGTAAATGAGGGGTGGTGCTTAGCAGCAGCGCACAGAGCGGTGGCTGGAGAAGCCCAGGGGTGAGCTTTAGATCCCTTGACATAGCACGTACTCCTGGACCAGTCAGTCCTGTAGTTTAAAGTCACAAATGCAAATGAGCCATCAGAGTTTGTCACAGCTTCCTCAGAGGGACGAGGGTCATGGGGTGCGGATCACAGCAAAGCAGGGTGAAAAGGGGAGGAGTTCAAGGCAATCTCCCTGCTCCTACAGGTGCACCTGCCAGGGACACGCAATAGCTGACACATCCTTTCATCTTCTTGCTGTTAACACTTCCACAGAGTGAGGGAAGCGGGGGTTGGCACTGTACCCTCTTCGTGGTGTTGGAGAAAATGGGCTTCAAGACAAAGAGCCAATCTGCCCCGGGTCATCTAGTTAGAAGGTGGGGGAGTCAAAATTAAATCCAAATATTCTGACTCCAAATTCTACAACCGTTTTTATGCACGCTGGACCCTCGCCAAGCACCCTGGCCGAATGCATTCCAGTCACCACACTGCACCATCTGACACCATCCCACTGCACGCCGATCAACATTATACTCCATATGATGCTTGATGGTGAGAAACAGTGAATGCTTTCTCTCTAAAACTGGGAGAAAGGGGTCTGCTCTCACTACGCTAAAATGGTAAAACAAGAGAGGAGAGAAAAGGCAAGCAGATAAGGAGGAGGAACTCAAATGGTCCCTATTGACAGATAACATACAGGTAGCAGAGATCTCAAAGAATCTACAAGGAACGCCTAGAACCGACATTATGAATCTGGTAAGGTCACAGTCATGCAAAGAACCCCAAATCAGCTGCTAATCTTACACACTAGCAATGTCAAAGTGCACACTGAACTTAATAGTATCGTTCATTTACAATAACTCAGAAAAATGAAATACGTAGGTGTGAACCTAACATGTGCAGGACTTGCATGCTGAAGGCCACAAAATATGGATGAAATAAATCAAAGATATAAATAAATGGACAGACATACTATGTTTACAGGCAGAAAAACCTAACATGCTAAAGGTATCATTTTTCCCAAAACCTCAGCAAGGTTTTTGTTTTGAAGATATAGAAGACTATTTCAAAATATTTAATATGGAGGCGAAAGAACTAGAATTCAATCAATCAAAAATCATTTAAAAATATGTAATAATGAAGTGGGAAGAATCAGTCACCCCGTTTCGAGTCGTGTCACATTGCTTCAGCACTCGAGAGCGGTAGACACGCAAGTCAGAGGGAGAGAAGACAGAAGCCAGAGGCAGACGCACAGAAAGCTGCGCCACTGAGCGCTGGCAGGGGGCAGCAGCGAGCACGGAGGACAACTGTCTTACGCACAGGGTCCGGGCCAATGGGCTTCTGCAGACAAGAACAAAAACAAGAAACAAGAGTCTTAAGTCTTGTACCTTTACAGAACAATCAACTCAAACGGGATCAGGGACACAAATGTAAAATACAAAACCATAGGGCCTGGCACAGTAGCCTAGCGGCTTAAGTCCTCGCCTTGAATGCCCCGGGATTCCATATGGGCACTGGTTCTAATCCTGGCAGCTCCACTTCCCATCTAGCTCCCTGCTTGTGGCCTGGGAAAGCAGTCGAGTACGGCCCAAAGCCTTTGGGACCCTGCACCCGTGTGGGATGCCCAGAAGAGTTTTCTGGATCCTGGCTTCGGATCAACATAGCATCAGCTGTTGGGCTCACCTGGAAGTGAATCATTGGATGGAAGGTCTTCCTCTCTGTCTCTCCTCTCTGTATATCTGACTTTTCAATAAATAAATAAATCTTTTTTAAAAAATACAAAACCATAACACTTTTTGAAAAAAAAAGAGAGAGAAAATTTTAAGGCTCTATAGCTGGGCAAACAGTTTTCATAACTGACTTCCAAAAGCAGAATTCTTTAAAGGAAAACTTATTAAGTGGTCTTCATCAGAATTAAAAATAAACTTTTGTTTCATGAAAGACTGTAAACAGTTGAAAAGCTGAACACTGGGATGGAGAGTACGTTTGAGAATCTTTGCAAACTACTCCTTTGAGAAATGGCCAAGATCTGCAATATACAAAGAACTCTCAAAACTCAACCAAAAAAAATGTGCCACAGACTTAAGGACATAATTCACCAAGGAAGATATACAGAGGGCAGTTAGACACATGAAAATATTCAACTTTATTAGCCACTCAGGAAATATAAACTAGAAACACAATCACTCCACACTCATCAAATGGTTAAAATCAAAATTCCCAATGCCAAATGCTGGCAAGAGTGAGGAGAAACTGGCTCCCTCATACCTTGCTGGAAGGAGCGTAAATGTGCAGTTACTCTGCAAAGCTGGGAGCTTAAGAAACTACGCACAGATCAGCACCTGCACTCCTAGACACTACTCCAGAAACAGGAAAACCTAAGTTCACATCAAAGCGATACCTTCATTTCTAACAGCATGAAACAAGAAGCAACCGTTAAACAGTTAAATACTACGGATAACTACAACTACAGGAAAAACCCCTGATGCTCAGTAAAAGATGGTAATTCTAAGAGGTTATATACTGTATGAGTCTTCTAATATTGTTGAAAGAATAGATTCCTAACGGTGGGGCAAGAGGGGAGCGAGTGGGGCCACTGCAGAAGGACAACAGGACGGATACTGTGAGAATACAGCCTCCTGCAGTTATACCCCGGTCTACCAGTGGCCTGGGTGTGTGTAGCCGTGTTACAGTTAGCATGACGTTTTCACTGGGGGAAACCAAGCAAAGGATACAGATCTCTCTGTGTGGCGAAGGTGAGACCACACACGGCAGGAAGGTGGAGAGACAGGGAAAGGCACGGGGCTCCTCGCGAGAGACAGGCGCAGTGTCAGGCTGCAAAGCCACTGGGACTTCAGAGGAATGGCTCTCTCACAGGATGTAATGAGGATGTTTGCACTTAGGGCTTTTCTCCTGAAGGACTCATGATATTCCTTTGCTGTTTTAGTCAAGTGCTTCTCTCCAAAACACGCAAGGGTCCTGAGACATACCTGTGGTTTACAACTCTGCCAATGTCCCCTGACTCCGATCAGGCAGCTTTAGGTGACATCATGGTAGCCTCAAGTGCAACACCTCATTACTATTTATCTCTTGAAGATAATGATGGAACCACTGTTTCTTAAAGGGTGCCACGATTTCCATATGCTGTCTCACTTGATTTCACACTAACTTAAGTGATATTCAAGGCGCTGGTACCTCCTTTTTTTCCAAGTGCAAAAAACAGGCATACAGTGGGTAAGTTGCTTGCTAACATTATTGAAGTAATTTCAAGTGGGCTTAATCCTTGAATTTTTTTTTTCTTGCAAGACAGAGTAACACAGAGAGTGAGCAAGTGAGCACACAAACTAGCGGGGGCTGTGCCAGACTGAAGCCAGCAGCAGAAAGCCATCCAGGTACCTAGATGGATGACAGGAATCCAAGCACTTGAGCGTACACTCATTGCTTTCCCTGCTGTAATCTGCAAGGAAGATGGGCCGGAAGCAGGAGCAGCCGGGACTTGCCAACTGGCACTCCAATATGGGATGCAGGTGTCAAGCAGAGGCTTAACTTGCTACATCATAATACTGGTCCCTGTATTTCCCTTTCTTATAAAGAGTTTTAATTCTTATACAATTGATTTTTGTTTTAGAAACAAGGAGAGATCTCCTATCAGTGAATGAACTCCCCAGCTGCCCACAGAAACAGGGAAAATTCAGCTCGGCTTGAGCAGGCGGAAGCTGGGAAGAGGGAACTCAATCCAGGTCCCCCACCTGGGTGACAGGGACCCAGACACTCAGCCATCCGCTTGTCTTCCAGGTCCCCCACCTGGGTAACGGGGACCCGGACACTCAGCCATCCGCTTGTCTTCCAGGTCCCCCACCTGGGTAACGGGGACCCGGACACTCAGCCATCCGCTTGTCTTCCAGGGAGCGCATGAACAGGAAGCTGCAACTGCACTCCAACAAGGATGAGCACCCCAGCGGAGCCGTAGCACTGTACCACATGCCTGGCCCAACAGATTTCTGGCACACAATCTTTGTTTTAATGTTATACAAAAAAAAGTTTTTTGAAGATTTGTTTGAAAGAGTTAGAGAAAGAGAGATGATGCATCTGCTGGTGAGGGCTGGGCCAGGCTGAAGCCGGAAGCCACGAGCTTCTTCCCTGTGGGCTGCAGGGGCCTCGACACTGGGGTTTTCTCCACTGTTCTTCTTGGGCCATTAGCAGGGAGGTGGATGGGGAGTGGAGCAGCTGGTTGCTGGCTTTGCAGGCGGTAGCTTTACATGCTATACCACAATGAGAAGTTTTTAAAGAATTGAGGTTTTTGCCTTTTATATTAATGGATGTATGGTACAGCCTTCAATACATCAGAATATATGGTTCTCTCATCTCATAAGCAAACCATAATATATGAGTATTATACTTTGAGCCTAAGAATGAAGCCATGATAAAAATGCATTTGAACATTTCTATTTCCAGGGAGTTTAGGAGTTATTTCAGGTTCTCCATTTGGCAACATCCTCTACATTAGGAAAGGAGAGGACCTAAGTCCTCAAACAGAGCTGAGAACACCTGGGCCCCTGTGGCTCTCGGGGAAGTGAAGACGCCTAATGAAAAGTCGTTCCACGCTTGAACTCCACTTGGGGGAGATGACATTCACCTACAGGTCAACTTTCTGAAACCTTACTTTGAGACCAGAAAAGCCTGTCTCAAGAAGAGCCACGACAGAACCCTGGACTCTTCCATCTGAGCACCAGCCTGAGCGAACGGGGCAGGATTGAGCCCCTGA